CTTAAACTTAAGGGAAAATTCTATAAGATGGTAGAAGGCTGCAATGCTTTATGATGCCTGAATGTTGGCCATTAAAAGAGAAGCATAATACTAGTTAAAGTATGGCAGAGATGAGGATGCTCAAGGTGAGTGGCTTTACCCTTAGAGATAGGATACGAAATGAGGCATATATGTGGAAGGTTGAGGAGTTAGCTCCAGTAGAGAGAGAAGATTGAGAGAGGTTGCCTTAGATGTGTTGGTCACACATATAAAACGGCGGCCTTCCGATGACCCGGTTAGGAAGAGTAGAGGTATTAGATTTGACTTATGTTAAGAAAGGTAAGGGGTAGACTAAAAAAGACATGGTTTAGAAAATATTAGGAATGACCTTTTCTTTATTAGATTTAAATCAAGAATTTGACTTTTAATAGGGCACAATGGAGAAAAAGGAATTTCATGTACCGGACCCACGTATTGGAATATAGGCTGTGTTGTTTGTTTTGTTGTATCGATATTTCTATATCTAGTTCCGAGAGAGAGTTAAAAGCATGCTCAAAATAAAATTATAAACTCAAATCAACTAATTAATAAATCAGGAATCGCATTTCTTTTAACTCATAAGTTTCTATATTTTTAATTTCTTCAATAACCATTGCTCTAATACTATTTTGGTTACACTCTAGGATTTATATTGAAAGAAATTACATCTGTCTTTTCATTTAATCATTTAACTAGTCAGCTTATCAAATATAGCAGAAAGAAACATGACTGTATTTTTTATCTTATCTAGAGTTGGATCCTTACCATTTCCTGAAATAATGTAAATGATTGTTAATTAACATATGCCCACAAGTAACTAAAATCCTATACATCTAAAATCAATGCAAGATAAAAGAGAATGATATGCTATAAATCTTCATAAAGAAATTATTCATCCAATAATCTATACTAATTATTTTTGTATCAATTTATCTTTAATAATTTACATATGACAATCCATATTAATTAGTCACAGTTATCAAGTAACAATCAACAACGCATATATGCCATATAACATATATTGTATTATGATCAATATGTTTAATAGAGTATACAGTTAATGACAGTAAACAATATTAGTGGCATTCAAATAATCAGTCAGTGTTCGTCATAGTGTCGGTATCAGTTTATAATGTTTAAGGAGTTGTATCTTAAAGAGTATATTGCTCATACACTTTTGACTTTCAATTAGTCAGCATCTTATAACTCCCAATCAATATTTTCCTTTATAACCCCCTTGAATCATGAGAATAGAATTTGGCCCCGAATCCTTATAATTCTCAATCAATCTTCTAGTTTCCTATGAATCCTCATCAGTGAACCACGTAGATCATTTAGGTCAGTCATTGTGGAATATCATATCATTATCCTAATATCATTCAATACTTCATTTAATAATGCAGATAAAATATATCAAAATTAATTTCCATAAGTGGAATACATTTATAACGATATACAACTTGTATGGTGCAAGCTTATAAAAATCAGTAGATAATATATTTTTGACAATTTGGGAGAAGATAAAATTTGTAGAAATTAAAATCATGAAAAACAGAAGTAAGAGATTAGTCACTTGATAACGAATAAAATAATTCCGTGATCAGAAATGACTAACAATATCATCCAAAACCTCTCACTCTCTCTTTTCTCTCTAAATTTTCACATATTCGAGTTATTTACAAAAATTTCTTGGACTTTTCTTTCTTAGTTTTCGTATATCACTAAGACAAAAGTTTCTTCACTCTACCAGCCGCAAATATTTCAGCCTGCAACATAAGTTATAAAATGGGCACCCTTTCTTCATTAATTTGAAGGTGTTAAAAAATAGGTAGGTTAAATTTATATAAGGATATCATATGTCGTTGTAGTGGGGTAGAAGCTTTGAAATGGTAAATTATCAATTAGGTGAAGAGTATCAATACTGATAGTTAACAAGAGATTATAAGAAGTCAGTCCACTTATTGTTTTCTAATGAGACGTGGGAGATCGAGCAACAAGCCTTAATGCATTTGTTGTTTGAGGCATCAATCATTGATTGGCATCGAGTGTTCGATAACATAGAATACTTAACAAAGTCATAGCGATAGTAGGACATTGGATTTGGTATTTCTAATTGATAAGATGGGGATCTTAAGCCGATAAAGAAGACATATATCAAATGTTTAGTCGCCGGCGAACTTCGGCTATTGGCTCGAGTCTAGCGACAATTAAATAGAGGACTTTTAAATTATAGAAGACAAACAATGATCAAGATTCCGCTCTCTTAAAGAATTGGGGCAATTATATGCTGGGTATCTATAAGGTTTTCTTTTCGGACGGTTTTCTTCTCGCTTTCTAAACTGGTTGTTTAGTACACAAATTTCTTAAATTTGAAGATTTTTTGTACTAATAGAAAGCTTTCTAAAAAGCAGTACAAAAGCTGTCACAGAATCGAAACTATAGGCGCTTCGTTTAGGGAAGGCTCTTCTCGCTTTCTTACTTTTTGTACATTCTAATTTTGCAGAGTCTTGTTTAAGATCGAAAGTGTTGTTCTAAACGTGTTTGCTATAACACTTAATTTTTTAGGTTCGAAGTCTTTTGTTACTATCTAGTTTTCTTTTATGAAAACGCTCTAGTACGAGAAAGTGTCTCACGAAACATAGAGAATTTGTTTAATGGATGTAACAATCACTTGAACAACATTAAATATGTCTACTCACTAAGTAATTAAAGTATAGAAGTCAAAGATTCTGAGTCGATTAAATCATGAAATTGTTTTCTCTTTATGACAAGCCAAATAATACTACTACTATACAAAAATTCCACCTTAAGAGAAAATATGGGATTTATAATTAAATCATTTATTTAACTTCTAAAGTAAATTTTAGTAAAAAAAAAAATTAATTCAAAAAATATTTGCAATAAAAAATGCTTAGTAACTTAAAAAAAAAACTATCTTTAAAATTATGGGTGGTCTATTTAATTGCCCTCTAACATAAGCCTAAATAATTGGCTAATTTATTGAGTACATCAAAGCCGTCTTATTCTCCCCAAACAAATCAGACAAGAGATTCATTGAAGAATAAACTGTGGGACCCTTTCAAGGACAAATTTGGTTATGTACCTAATGTTCGCTCCAATTATACAGCAATTCTTATTTTTATATATAATTTTTAAATGTTTCTAAAAATGTTATATCATGAAAATTATTATAATATATTATTTTTTAATTTATAGAATTTAATGAGACTACATAACAAAATATATATCTATATATAAACATTATTTATCTTTACGTACAACATTGTGCCCGAAAACTATTATAGCAAAGAAAATATAAAATAATAACTGAACAATTGGCATATGGACCAGTGCTGGTTGAGCGAGTTTGGTGAAGTGACAAGTCAGCGAGCCGGTTGAGTGACGAGTAGCATTTGATCGAGAGATCCTTGATCCCACAGTGAGTGCCACTACTAAAAATGAATGTTTTTCAACAACAGTAGTAGTAAGTTTTAAAACTGCTACTGAAATCTGTACTTCCTCAAATCTACCTCCGTCTGTCCCTTAAACACTACGGAATGGTGGTGTAGCGCATTGCAATTAACAGCGGTTGAATCACAGTGTTAGGACGCTGTAAAGAAAGTTTGGCAGTTAAACCGTCCATAATAAGTCAAAATTGTGTTGGAATAACCCTATTTTTTTGGTAGTGTGCAACTTTGGCCTTCGACGAGGGCAACCTTTTAATTTCCTAGCTCAACGGATTTAGATTATTATGCTATTTTAACAGGACCAATGGCAATTCAGCTATTTTTAGGTAGAGGTAGACCTAAAAAGAACTTTATTAGAAAATAGTTAAAAATTG